CTCTCTCTCTCTCTCTCTCCCTCCCCTATCCAACCCTTACCTTTTATCCCTTTCCTTCTCACCCCTTCCTGCCGTCTCTGTCTTGCCCTCTAATTGCTTGTCTCACCTCCTTTCTCCCATCTATGTATTTGCTCCATTGTAAAGTTGTGGTTATTCTTTGCACAGAGAATAATATTGTCTCAGAAAACGATACCGATTGACTTTCAGGTGGACTATGTACTTGATCATGGAATCGGAGGAGTTATGTTCTGGGCTCTAGATCTGGACGACTTCAAAGGGCTTTCCTGTGGAAAAGGCAAATATCCACTGATCAACGCAGTCAAAGATGAGTGTGCTAACCCGTCATCGGGAGAACAGGGGTAAAATATTTAACTTAATGTCTTTTTAAAAAAGGGATAGAATTAGAAAATAAATATAAATACATTTTTGTGAACCTGAGCTCATATGTCACTCAGCCACTGTACTTACTTATTTGCTTTACATGACCCTTCTTCTTGTAACATCTATGGCGTCGAGGGGAGAAGAGCTTTCGGTCTCTAGCACGCTGAAAGGCGTGGCTGGATGGGATGTTGTGGATCTTCAGGGTATCCTTCACACCCTCGATCCAGGTTGTCCTTTATCTTCCTATTGCCTTATGCCCTTATATTCTTTTGTTGTACTCTTTACTGGCAAGCTGGTGAGATGCCATACGTGTCAGATGTCCGAACCACCTGATTGTTTGCCCCTGAATGTAGTGGAGAACAGGGTGTTATTTCCACCATTTATTTGACCCTGGTGTTCTGATCATGTCCCATCTGGTTTTGTTGACGGCTCTCCTCCGACATCTCATCACGCAAGTAACTATCGTGTGTTCTAGACTTTAGGACAAGGTCCATGTCTAGCATTGATAGGTCAAGGTGGAGGTAAGAATAGAGTCAATGACCTTCACTTTGGGCTCAGAGGGGATGTTAGGATGTTTTAGGAGTGGGATAAGCTGATAGTGGTTGCTATTAGCCTTCTCTATTCTCGTCTGATTTGTTTTAGCGGAGTTCTGTCAATGCTGCTATTGAGATTGCCTGGTGCTCTGCTGATCTTCCTGATGAGCTTATTACACATTCTTTCTCATATGCAAGCCTTTGGTCGTCTGCAAACGGCATCTCATTCAGGTCTTTCTGGTTGGGGTCAGCTACTGAAGACCTCTAAAGGTAAAACAGTTTGGGACATTGGTTTACTTTTATCCGCGCCACTTTGGACTAACACTGGAGAGCGGACGCTCGCACTTTTTACAAGTGGAACTGGAAAGCAGTAGCTGAATCCTGAAATATTTGATAATAATCGAAACTTACAATTGTTTACCCTCTTAAGTTCATAAAAATAAGACTCGGGTTTCGTTATCCTTTAGCAATATCGAATGGTACCTTCTTAATTTTGAGGTTTGAAGAACGTATGGTTTCTTTAAAAATGTGACGCAAAAGTCGGGGACATCAGAATTATTTTATTTCACAATTTGTGTGTGTGTGTTTGTGTGCGTGTGCGTGACTGTTTATCGCTTGCTTGCAGCACCACTGTAGCACCTGGAGCATCTACCTCCCAGTCACCATCTGGCAGCAGCAGCGGTTCTTCCTCCACGACCTCTGCGCCGGGACAAGTGACCACACAAGCCCCCGGTGTCGTCACTTACGCCAACACACCTAGTGGTGGGTCTACTTCCAGTCCAGGTGAGTGGAGAGAATGAAGTTTTACTGATGTATGTATGTATGTATGTATGTATGTATATATATATATATATATATATATATATATATATATATATATATATATATAGATAGATAGATACATATATATATATATGCGTGTGTGTGTGTGTGCGTGTGTGTGTGTGTGTGTGTGTGTGTGTGTGTGTGTGTGTGTGTGTGTGTGTGTGTGTGTGTGTGTGTGTGTCTGTGTGTCTGTGTGCATGTTCAGTTGGGACTGACATTGACCATATTAAAGACGTTTTGGCAGTTGTAGTTTGTCGGGGGGGGGGGGCCTCCCCAATTTCTAAAACAATAGTCCCATTTGGTTACTTGTCGCGATATGTTATTAATCTTTACCGCTGCAAAAATCTTTGATCTTAAGGACACCACAAAAAGATCTCACAAAATCCAACAATCTGAACATAACAATTGTAAAAGCCAACGGTTTTTGTCTAGATCTTTTTAGAAAGTATATATTTTCTTGCAAAACAGCCACCCAAGGTTGCCAGAGGCGAGTGTGCTACTACACCAACTGGTCCCAGTACAGAAACGCACAAGGCAAGTTCATGCCAGAAGACGTGGACCCCAATCTGTGCACTCATCTCATCTACTCCTTCGCCAAAATGACCAATGACAAACTGGCAGCCTTTGAGTGGAACGACGAGGACACTTCGTGGTCTACAGGCATGTAAGTGTGGAACGGGACCGTTGAAAATTTTCTTTTTACAAAATTGATAACGGTAAATTTAGCCCTCCGTTTGTAACTCACTTTACCTTGTGATTACTTCAGGGTACCAACTCTTGGAGAAGCCGGATGAGGGTCACAGTGATGTTTTGTTCAAGAGACGCTTTTAACTTGTTTTAAGACATTAGCTTATTTATTGTGATCAGATAATTATAAAGCCAGATACCATGAATATCAGCGTCTCATCGAAATCAAACATTCAAGTAAACAGCAAAAATGAAAACGTTTAACTATACTTGAGTTTTGAATTCACAGACTGTATTAATTTTAATTTTTAGATAATATTTAAAGGAACTTTTTTTCTTTGTGAATTACCACCGGCATTTTCAAAAAGTGGCTGTTCGGCTGACCAAGTTAATCACTGATGGCCTCGTTGGACGGCTTTTACGTTCTCCGTGACTTTACAAAATCGAACTACGCCTAGTCAGTACGGTACCGTGGACCAGGGTGACTAAGACCACCTTTTTTACGAGCTATTAGTGTCAGTCTAATATAAATCATCGTAAACTAATAGTTTTTGTTTTAGATTGGGGTGGGTGGGTTGATAGTGTTCGTCAAATGCATAGTTTTAAAGAGGTACAATCTGCTATTTCTATAGCAATTGAGTGTTTTGGAGGTTGGTCTTAGTCACCGCGGCAAAGGGTGACAAAGACCACCCTATTACATCTCACTTATAAAACACTCTGGGAATGGCATCTTATGCTTGTTCTGACTGTTTTTGATGGCATAAGTACGGTAACCCAAATAGGCTCAGTGGGGAATGTAGTGTTAGGACGTTTCAGGTCAATTTCTTTATTATACTGCCGCGCACCAGGCTTTGGTTTGAAAGTTCTCGTCATCGTGAGAATGGTATTTTAGTACCGATAACAATGTATCTAGGTGTAGACTGGAAGGAGGGTGCTATACTGGAACAGAATCTAGAGAGAAAGAAGAGAATATCATAAATAGTAATACATTGTAATAATGTTGCTTACTTGCTAGCTTATCATCAATGACCGACAGCTTTAAAAGCACGGTAATTCTTCGTGTAATTTGTTTATATATATATATATATATATATATATATATATATATATATATATATATATATATATATATATATATATATATATATATATATATGTATATATATCTAGCTCCAGACTATTAGCTCAAACTAGCAACAAAATATACCATAACCTTTATCAAATACTTACTATGAATTCCATTCGTGGTCTCTATCTGGTTGAATCTCTCTTTATAACTCTCCAACCGACCAGGCATAGCTCACTCTTAAATTAAACTCTTAGTATTCGATCTAAAATTATTTATCAGTTTCTTTATACCCGTAGCATTTTATTTCATTTTCTTCCGTGAGATTCGAAACATTCTCCTTAGAAGTTCTAATAAAACAATCAAAACAAAAATTCCCATTTCCCCAGGTACCATCGATTCACCGACTTGAAAAAGCAGAATCCTCAGCTGAAGACCATGATCGCTGTGGGCGGCTGGAACATGGGCTCGGCTCCTTTCGTGCACATGGTGGCCACTGCAGCTACTAGGAAAACGTTCATTGACGACACAATCAAGTTCCTCCGGTCTCACAATTTTGACGGCCTTGATTTGGACTGGGAATATCCAGGAGCCAGAGGAAGTCCTGCCGAGGACAAGCATAGGTTCACGTTGTTGGTTCAGGTAAGCGTCGCGAGGTAGAGAGAAGGGAACAGGCGAATAGTATTGGCAAAACATACACATACCCCAATACACACTCATCATATACACACAATTACGAACGCAAGTATCCCGGCGAACATGATGAAATGTGGAGAAGCAGAAAAATCGAAAGGGGGGAGGGGTGTGTGCTGAGTTGCTCATAAGGCATGATGTTTACCAGTCAACCCAGAGTTCTGGAATTCGATCCCCACCAAAGTCGTATTCTCTCAAGTTTTTGCCCCCCCCCCCCTCCCCTTTTCCCGCTTCGCTTGATCCTAGGATAAGCAGGATCGAGCACCTATTCTTCTCGAGTAAAGATTAACAATTTTGGAAATCCTATGTGCAAGTTCAGCACGTTAACGATCCTTCAGCAGCTCCAAACTGAAAAGAGTAGGCCCATCAGGCTACGGTGGGACTTTATTCAAAATTAAGTAGTGAATGAGAATGAATACGCCAAGATTCGATTTTGTATATTGATAAAACGGCGATGTACGTAAAAGTCAGCTGTACATGTTTCAGTGAGTAACCGTTCACTTATTTTGAGAATTTGGGCCCAAAGTGAGCTTTTCTCGTTAGCAGTGTTCACAGTTTCATTTCAAAATACACCTGCAGACCCTATTTCACAGAAGACCGAAAAAAGCCCGTCCAAGTCAGTCTCTTTACTTCCATTTTTGTACGGAATTGTTAAAAATAAATCAAACATCTTGGTTTTAATTATCACAACCGGTCACATTTGTTAAAAATCATGGCCAACAACCAATCAGAAGACTTCTAAATGTCACGTGACATTAGGGGATCAGATGTTTTGGTTGCGCATGGAATACTACAGGCTTTAATAGAACTGCATGCACAATGTGTCGGAGAAAAGCATTTATGTATTTTGATAGAATGTACTCTGGCCAACGCCTTTTTCCAACCGCAATATCAAGTTCAATTGAACTATAAGCATCCGTTTTTATTTTTCTTGCCCCCAGGAACTGGCTGACGCCTTCGCAAAAGAAGCGGCTACTTCTGGCAAACCCCGACTCCTTCTCTCAGCTGCTGTCGCTGCCGGAAAGGACAAAATAGAAACAGCTTATGAAATCCCAGAACTGGCCAAGTAAAGTAGCATATATATATAACTCTTCCTGGTTTACTTAAGCATAATTTTACTGGAGCAATTGACTAGCGGTTAGGCGTTTAGCGGTCGTTCGTAGAGGACACGGGCTTGATTCCTATGTGCGGAGTTTTGGGAGTGTTTCCGTTTTCCTGCTGGGGCATTGTGACCCTGTTATTCGGGTTGGCCCTGACAGACAAGGTGGAACCACCTGCCCTATAGCTGTGTAGAATTGGAGAGTAAAACATCTACGATTGCCATCAATTATAATTACAAGAGGCATTCGGACTTTGTATTCGGACTTCTGTATAATATTCTAAAATGTTGATCCAATGCTTGTCAAAGAATATCGAATGTCCAGTAAAACAACTACAGAAAGTTTTGATCTATCTACCTATCGTTCAATCTGTTCATTCATTCATTAGCCTCTCTCCCCCCCCCCTTCCTCCCTCCCTCCCTCCTAGCCTCCCTCCCTCCCTCCTAGCCTCCCTACCTACCTACCTACCCACCTACCTACCTACGTACACGTCCACCCATCTATCTATCACAGGAGTCTTGACATGTTCAACGTGATGACCTATGACTTCCACGGATCCTGGGACAAGAAGACAGGACACAACAGTCCTCTGTACGCCCACCCTGGCGATACTGGAATACAGGCTAATTACAACATAGTAGGTTGTCTAGCAGCATTGTTTGTCTTACAAGTACAGTCTAGCAGGATTAAAAGAGGGTGGTTGGAGGGTGTTACTGATAGAATCGTGTGCAACCACTCGTCTGAAATCGTAGTTGACACTTCGGACAACATGTTGTATGTTCTAGAAATAATAAAGTCTACGGTACAACTGAAGTCATGTGGGATAATTGTTCATCAGCCAGTCTTGGTGTTTCTCCGCATTAAGAGGCGCTCATGGATTTTTCTTTTCCGCATTAATTAAATACGTCTCAGATCATTTTATACGTTTATTTACTAACACCATCACGCTCTTAGAATCAAAGGATTTATAACACTTGCGAAAGCTGAATGGTGTGCACAACTCTACGGACACAGATGCCCTGTATACTGTGTCCAGGGCTCGAGACAATCTGACCTGTGTTATTTTAAGTTTGACACTTAACAAATAAGGTGTAAAATATGTTAGCTGTGAGAGTGTGAATCTTGGAATCCTATTTTCTCAAAACTGTGCTGCATGGGGTAAGAACACTATCATTCTAAGGGCACGAAGGTATTTATGTGGCCAAAGAGTCCCATTTGTCTTTTTTCTTCTTTTGACGATTCTGATTAAAAAGCTTTCACAATCTACCACTTGGAGTACTTCTCTATTTGTTTTCCTCTCGATCCTTTAATTGTGAGTGTTCTCCTTAAATACCACATTTCCGCGATTTCCCGTATTCTCTCATCATGGTTAAATAGTAAAGAAAAAAAGACTTTCCATTGGTGGCCTCTTAGTATCGCACAAGACATATGAAAAACTAGCGAACAAGCACCATTCTTCCTGAACTTTCCTTCTGAAAAAACCAATCAAAACGAAACATTCTATGTGAGACCCAAACACAAAATTTCTCAACAGTAAAAAGTTTTTAAAAAAAAGATTCCTCAAATTAATGTGTACCTTATTTTTTTCTTTTCTCTATCTGACACACTTGATTCCCTTCTTAATTTGTTCACATAATTTATTTCCCCAGGACTCAGCTATCAAATACTACATTCAACACGGAGCTCCTAAAGAGAAAATTAACGTTGGCTTGGCCACCTACGGTCGTAATTTTATCCTGGCTGACCCCAGCAAAAGTAATGTTAACGACCCCATCAATGGGGCTGGCCCTCCCGGGAGATACAGCGGAGAGGCGGGGTTCAAAGCTTATTATGAGGTGAGTCTGTCCTGTTGACAGTTTCTGTTGTGTGGAATTGTTCTAGATGGTGACACTTTATTCATGCTTATGTGATGATTTTGAGCAATGATGTAAGACCCGACTCTCAGATTTCCAAGATACCTAGATTCTATTGTTTTCTGCAATGCTATTCTCTTACTGTTTATTTAGATTTGTTAAAAATTGTCCAGATTTTTAAAAATCGTATTTAAATTCACTACGCTGTGTGGGCCTTTGATCTCTTAGTGGGTTTTTTTTGGTTGCTTTTTTGTTTTTGTAAAGTTTTATGGCGCACCCATCTGAATGAGTTCATATGAGGGCCTAGGGGTGGATGTCAACAGAGAAGTTCAAACGTGGTACCGGGCTTACTCTGATCAACTCTCTGGCCTCAAAAGCACAAATCTGCTTCGACTATAAAGGCACCCCGGAAATAGTAGTTCACGAGAGAGTGACAAACATACAAAAGAAGTAGAGGGAAAATGACGATAGTAAGGATGAGGAAATAAAAAGCAACAGTTCAACCTATGTTGTTTCGGCACAGTATGGCCATGACATTGATATAGCAGCCCATTAACAATTCTACAGTTCAGAAGAACATGTTAATACCCCCCCCCCCCCTTGGGATAGGCCGAAAGACACTTCAGTCACTAACACTGCCCGGGGGGGGGGGGGGGGGGGGGGGGGCTTTTGAGTTTGCACTGAGCGATAGTGGTACTTCCAGGGCACTTGCCGTTGAGCATAAAAAACAACAAAACAAAAACAAAACAAACAAACATGGCTCACCCAAATAACTCCTTCACTCCTCTCTCTCTCTCTCTCTCTCTCTCTCTCTCTCTCTCTCTCTCTCTCTCTCTCTCTCTCTCTCTCTCTGTGTGTGTGTCTCTCTCTCTCTCTTCTCTCTCTCTCTGTGTGTCTCTGTCTCTCTCTCTCTCTGTCTCTCTCTGTCTCTCTGTCTCTCTCTCTCTCTCTCTGTCTCTCTCTCTCTCTCTCTCTCTCTCTCTCTCCTACTTTCCTTCTTTCGGTAAAAATAACTTCGTTATCCACAACGTACTTTGTAACTGTTCCTGAACGGTCGATAAAGACAGTAGTCTCTTTGATAACTCTTCCCCTTTACCAATATGTTATGGACAGATTTGCGACGAGTTGAAGTCTGGAGGCGTCGTGAAGACGATCAAAGAGCAACAAGTGCCGTACATGGTCAAGGGAAACGAGTGGATTGGCTTTGACAACGAAGAGAGCCTGAGAAACAAAGTAAGAGAGCGGGATTTTGGGGGGTAAAAGTTAAGTCTACACAAACATAATTTTGCAAAAAAAAATCTTATCTTTTAAAAAACTTACTGCTTTTGCCTTCATCCACCCCCCTCCCCCCTTCTCTCTCTCTCTCTCTCTCTCTCTCTCTCTCTCTCTCTCTCTCTCTCTCTCTCTCTCTCTCTCTCTCTCTCTCTCCCCATCTCTCTCTCCCCTCTCTCTCTCCCCTTCCTACTTTTTCCTTTCTCCCGTTCCCTCTCATCCATTCCCACCGTCTCTGTCTGCCCTCGAATGCTCTTCTGTCAACCGTAAACGTGGTGAGACAAAGTCTAGTTGTGGTCGCCATTCACAACATCGTCTTTTGCGCATAACGTTACAGCTACACCCATTGTTGACCCCACTGAGAGTGAAGAACCTAGCTTTTCATAGTTGGCCAAGAAAGTTCCAAAAGACAACCTCAACTAGTCATTGTCTCACCACCTTTCTCCCATCGATATATCTGCTCTATTGTAATGGTGGGATAATTTCTTGACATAGAGAATATTACCTAAGAAAACGATATCGCTCGACATTCAGGTGGACTATGTACTTGATCAAGGAATCGGAGGAGTTATGTTCTGGGCGCTAGATCTGGACGATTTCAAAGGGCAGTCCTGTGGAAAAGGCCCCTACCCCCTGATTAACGCAGTCAAGGATGAGTGTGCTAAACCTTCAGCGGGAGGACAGGGGTAAAGTATTTGCTTATTATTTACTTTATCCATAGCAATAGTGGGTACCTGACTTCGAGTTGTGAAAGTAAAGGCGTCGTGGAAAGGAACTGGCCACTCTACCACAATATGCGAAGGCACAGGAAGTTGTCTCACTAACAAGACAGTCCTTAATGTCCGGATCGGTTGCGGGAACAACATTACCTTTTTACTTTATCTATAGCATAGAGGGGAGAAAGAGCTTTCGATCTCTGACTAGCAGATGATCTGGTTGGATGGGATGTTATGGATCTTCAGGGCATCCTTCACACTCTCAATCCAGGTCTTCCTCGAATTTCCCCTTGCTTTGTATCCTGATATTCTTTTGCTGTGCGCTTTACTGGCAAGCTGGCGAGGTGCTTCACGTGTCCGTTGTCCAAACCACCTGATTGTTTGCCTGAATGTAGAGGAGGACAGGGTGTTGTTCACATCATTTCTTAGATCTTGGTGTTCTGATCATGAGCCATTTGGATTTGTTGACGGCTCTCCTCCAACATCTCATCACACAAGTAGTTATCTTGTGTTCCAGACTTTAGGTCAAGGTACATGTCTAGCATTGATAGGTCAAGGTGAAGATAAGGAGAGAGTCAACGAGCTTGACCTTGGTCTTAATGGGGATGTTAGGATGTTTGAGGAGTGGGGTAAGCTGGTAGCTGACGCTGTTAGCCTTCTGTATTCTCGTCTGACTTGTTTTAGCGGAGTTCTGTCAATGTTGATATTGAGGTTTCCTGGTGTTCTGCTGATATTCATGTTGAGTTTTTCACACTGTGTGTTCAGACAGTCGGTGTGCTCTTGAAGCTGCTCTTCTTTCTCGTATGCAAGGCTTTGGTCGTCTGCAAACGGCATCTCACTCAGGTTTTTCTGGTTGTGGTCAGCTACTGTAGCCCTCTAAAGGTAAAACAGTTTGGGATGTTGGTTTGCTTTCATCCGCGCCACTTTGAACTAACACTGGAGAGCGGACGCTCACACTTTTTACAAGTGGAACTGGAAAGTAATGGCTAAATCCTGGAATATTTGACAATCATAAATAATAATCGAAACTTACAATTTTATACACTCCTCATAACAATAAGAATCTGGTTTCGTCATCTTTAAGGAATATTGAATTTTACCTTGTTCTAAATTTTCAGGTTCGAAAAATGTATAGTTTCTTCAAAATATGTACGCAAAGGTTGGGGACAAGAGAATTATTTTATTTCAAAATATGTGTGTGTATGTGTGTGCGTGTGTGAGTGTGTGTGTGTGTGTGTGTGTGTGTGTGTGTGTGTGTGTGTGTGTGTGTGTGTGTGTGTGTGTGTGTGTGTGTGTGTGTGTGTGTGTGTGTGTGACAGTTTACCGCTTGTTTGCAGCACCACTGCGGCACCTGGAGCTTCTACCTCCCAGTCACCATCTGGCAGCAGCAGCGGTTCTTCCTCCGCGACCTCCGCACCAGGACAAGTGACCACACAAGCCTCCGGTGTCGTCACTTACGCCAACACACCCAGTGGTGGGTCTACTTCCAGTGGAGGTGAGTGGAGAGAATGAAGTTTTACTGATGTATGCATATATATATATATATATATATATATATATATATATATATATATATATATATATATATATATATATATATAAGTATATATATATGTGTGTGTGTGTGTGTGTGTGTGTGTGTGTGTGTGTCTGTATGTGTGTGTCTGTGTGCATGTTCATGCATGTTCATGCATGTTCAGTTGGGACTGACATTGACCATATTAAAGACGTTTTGGTAGTTGTAGTGTGTCGGAGGGGAGGGGGGGTTGGGGCTCCCCAATTTCTAAAGCAATAGTCCCATTTGGTTACTTGTTGCGATTTGTTATTATTCTTTTCCACTGCAAAAATCTTTGATCTTAAGGACACCACAAAATGATCTCACAAAATCCAACAATCTGAACATAACAATTGTAAAAGCCAACGGTTTTTGTCTAGATCTTTTTAGAAAGTATATATTTTCTTGCAAAACAGCCACCCAAGGTTGCCAGAGGCGAGTGTGCTACTACACCAACTGGTCCCAGTACAGAAACGCACAAGGAAAGTTCATGCCAGAAGACGTGGACCCCAATCTGTGCACTCATCTCATCTACTCCTTCGCCAAAATGACCAATGACAAGCTGGCAGCCTTTGAGTGGAACGACGAGGACACTTCGTGGTCTACAGGCATGTAAGTGTGGAACGTGACTGTTGAAATTTTTCTTTTTATAAAATTGATAACGGTAAATTTAGCCCTCCGTTTGTAACTCAAAAGCCTTGTCTGTACTTCAGGGTACCAACTTTTGGTGAAGCTGGATGAGGGTCACAGTGACGTTTTGTTCAAGAGACGCTTTTAACTTGTTTTAAGACATCAGCTTATTTATTGTGATCAGATATTTATAAAGCCAGTTACCATGAATATCAGCATTTCATCGACATCAAACATTCAAGTAAACAGCAAAATTGAAAACGTTTAACTATACTTGAGTTTTGAATTCACAGACTGTATTAATTTTAATTTTTAGATAATGTTTAAAGAAACTTTTTTTCTTCGCGGATTACCACCGACATTTTCCAAAAGTGGCTGTTCTGCTGACAAAGTTAATCACTGATGGTCTCGTTGGACGGCTTTTACGTTCGCCGTGACTTTATAAAATCGAACTACGCCTAGTCAGTACGGTACCGTGGACCAGGGTGACTAAGACCATCTTTTTTACAAGCTATTAGTGTCAGTCTAATATAAATCTTCCTAAACTAATAGTTTTTGTTTTAGATTTGGGTGAGTGGGTTGATAGTGTTCGTCAAATGCATAGTTTTAAAGAGGTACAATTTGCTATTTCTATAGCAATTGAGTGTTTTGGAGGTTGGTCTTAGTCACCGCGGTAAAGGGTGACAAAGACCACCCTATTACATCTCACTTATAAAACACTCTGGGAATCGCATCCTATACTTGTTCTGGCTGTTTTTGATGGCATAAGTACGGTACCCCAAATAGGCTCAGTGGGGAATGTAGCGTTAGAAAGTTTCAGGTCAATTTCTTTATTAATCTGCCGCGCACCAGGCTTTGGCTTGTATGTTCTCGTCATCGTGAGAATGGTATTTTAGTACCGGTAACAATGTATCTAGGTGTAGACTGGAATGAGGGTGCTATACTGGAACAGAATCTAGAGAGAAAGAAGAGAATTTCAAAAATAGTAATACATTGTAATAAGGTTGCATACTTGGTAGCTTATCATCACTGACTGACAGCTTTGAAAGCACGGTAATTCTTCGTGTAATTTGTTTTAATATATATCTATATCTAGCTTCAGACTTTTAGCTCAAACTAGCAACAAAATATACCAAAACTTTTATCGAATACTTACTATTAATTCCATTCCTGCGACCAGGCATGGCTCACTCTTAGATTAAACTCTTAGTATTCGATCTAAAATTATGGATCAATTTCTTTATACCCGAGGCATTTTATTTCTTTTTCTTCCGTGAGATTCGAAACATTCTCCTTAGAAGTTCTGATAATAGAATCAAAACAAAAATTCCCTATTCCTCAGGTACCATCGATTCACCGACTTGAAAAAGCAGAATCCTCAGCTGAAGACCATGATCGCTGTGGGCGGCTGGAACATGGGCTCGGCTCCTTTCGTGCACATGGTGGCCACTGCAGCTACTAGGAAAACGTTCATTGACGACACAATTAAGTTCCTCCGGTCTCACAATTTCGACGGCCTTGATTTGGACTGGGAATATCCAGGAGCCAGAGGAAGTCCTGCAGAGGACAAGCATAGGTTCACACTGTTGGTTCAGGTAAGAGTCGCGAGGCAGAGAAGGGAACATGCGAATAGTGTTGGCTAAACAGACACATACGCACATATACACTCATATACACACGATTACACATATAATTATTCAAATACAAACGCAAGTATCCAAGTGAACACGATGAAATGTGGAGAAAGAAGAAAAATCGAAATGGGGTGGGGGGGGGGGATGCTGAGTAGCTCAATATGTATGATGTTCACCAGTCAACCCAGAGTTCTGGAGTTCGATCCCCACCAAAGCCGTATTCTCTCAAATTTTCGCCCCCCCCCCCCCCCCCAAACCGCTTCGCTTGATCCTAGGATAAGCAGGATCGAGCACCTGTTCTTCTCAAGTAAAGATGAACAATTTAGAAATCCTATGTGCAAGTTTAGCACGTTAACGATCCTTCGGTAGCTCCAAACTGAAAAGAGTAGGCCCATCGGGCTACGGTGGGACTTAATTCAAAATTAAGTAGTGAATGAGAATGAATACGCCAAGATTCGATTTTGTATATTGATATAACGGCGAAGTACGTAAAAATCAGCTGTACATGTTTCAGTGAGTAACCGTTCACTTCTTTTGAGAATTTGGGCCCAAAGTGAGCTTTTCTCGTTAGCAGTGTTCACAGTTTCATTTCAAAATACACCTGCAGACCCCATTTCACAGAAGACCGAAAAAAGCCCGTCCAAGTCAGTCTCTTTACTTCCATTTTTGTACGGAATTGTTAAAAGATAAGATTTTAAAAGTATTTTAAAAATCAATCAAACACGTTTGGTTTTCATGGTCACAACCGGTCACATTTAATTTGTTAAATATCATGGCCAAGAAACAATAAGAAGACTTCTAAATGTCACGTGACATTAGGGGATCAGATGTTTTGTTTGCGCATGGAATACTACAGGCTTTAATAGAACTGCATGCACAATGTGTCGGAGAAAAGCATTTGTGTATTTTGATAGAATGTACTCTGGCCACGCCTTTTTCCAACCGCAATATCAAGTTCAATTGAACTATAAGCATCAGTTTTTATTTTTCTTGCCCCCAGGAACTGGCTGACGCCTTCGCACAAGAAGCGGCTACTTCTGGCAAACCTCGACTCCTTCTCTCAGCTGCTGTCGCTGCCGGAAAGGACAAAATAGAAACAGCTTATGAAATTCCTGAACTGGCCAAGTAAAGTAGCATATATATATATATATATATATATATATATATATATATATATATATATATATATATATATATATATATATATATATATATATATAACTCTTCCTGGTTTACTTAAGCATCTTTTTACTGGCGGTTAGGCGTTTAACGGTCGCTCGTAGAGGACACGGGCTTGATTCCTATGTGTGGATATTTTTGAGTGTTTCCGTTTTCCTGCTGGGGCATTGTGGCCCTGTTATTCGGGTTGGCCCTGACAGACAAGGTGGAACCACCTGCCCTATAGCTGTGTAGATTGGAGTGTAAAACATCTACAATTGCAATCAATTATAATCACAAGAAGTATTCCGACTTCTGTATAATATTCTAAAACGTTGATCCAATGCTTGTCAAGGAATATCGAATGTAAAGTAAAACAACTACAGAAAGTTTAGATATATCTACCCATCGCTCAATCTGGTTATTCATTCATTAGCCCCTCTCCCTCCCTTCCTCCCTCCCTCCCTCCTAGCGCGTTCCTCCCTCCCTCCCTACCTACCTTCTTATCCGCCTGTCTACCTACCTACCAACCAACCTACTTACCCTTATACTTACCTACCTACCTACCTACCTACCTACCTACCTACCTACCTACCTACCTACCTACCTAGCCACCTACCTACCTACCTACCTACCTACCTAGCCACCTACCTACCTACGTACCCGTCCGCCCATCTATCCATCACAGGAGTCTTGACATGTTCAACGTGATGACCTATGACTTCCACGGATCCTGGGACAAGAAGACAGGACACAACAGTCCTCTGTACGCCCACCCTGGCGATACTGGAATACAGGCTAATTATAACATTGTAGGTTGTCTAGCAGCATTGTTTGTCTTACAAGTACAGTCTAGCAGGATTAAAAGAGGGTGGTTAGAGGGTGTTACTGATAGAATCGTGTGCAACCACTCGTCTGAAATCGTAGTTGACACTTCGGACAACATGTTGTATGTTCTAGAAATAATAAAGTCTACGGTACAACTGAAGTCATGTGGGATAATTGTTCATCAGCCCGTTTTGGTGTTTCTCCGCATTAAGAGGCGCTCATGGATTTTTCTTCTCCGCTTTAATTAAATAAGTCTCAGATCATTTTATACGTTTATTTACTAACACCATCACGCTCTTAGAATCAAAGGATTTATAACACTTGCGAAAGCTGAATGGTGTGCACAACTCTACGGACACAGATGCCCTGTATACTGTGTCCAGGGCTCGAGACAATCTGACCTGTGTTATTTTAAGTTTGACACTTAACAAATAAGGTGTAAAATATGTTAGCTGTGAGAGTGTGAATCTTGGAATCCTATTTTCTCAAAACTGTGCTGCATGGGGTAAGAACACTATCATTCTGAGGGCACGAAGGTATTTATGTGGCCAAAGAGTCCCATTTGTCTTTTTTCTTCTTTTGACGATTCTGATTAAAAAGCTTTCACAATCTACCACTTGGAGTACTTCTCTATTTGTTTTCCTCTCGGTCCTTTAATTGTGAGTGTTCTCCTTAAATACCACATTTCAGCGATTTCCCTTATTCTCTCATCATGATTAAATGGATTAGAAAAAAAAGACTTTCCAGTGATGACCTCTAAGTATCGCACAAGACATATGAAAAACTAGCGAACAAGCACCATTCTTCCTGAACTTTCCTTCTGAAAAAACCAATCAAAACGAAACATTCTATGTGAGACCCAAACACAAAATTTCTCAACAGTAAAAAGTTTTTTAAAAAAAAGATTCCTCAAATTAATGTGTACCTTATTTTTTTTTTTCGGTTTTCCATCTGACACACTTGATTCCCTTCTTAATTTGTTCACATAATTAATTCCCCAGGACTCAGCTATCAATTACTACATTCAACACGGAGCTCCTAAAGAGAAAATTAACGTTGGCTTGGCCACCTACGGTCGTAATTTTATCCTGGCTGACCCCAACAAAAGTAATGTTAACGACCCCATCAATGGGGCTGGCCCTCCCGGGAGATACAGCGGAGAGGCGGGGTTCAAAGCTTATTATGAGGTGAGTCTGTCCTGTTGACAGTTTCTGTTGTGTGGAGATTTTCTAGATGATAACACTTTATTCAGGCTTATGTGATGATTTCGATCAATAATGTAAGACCCGACTTTCAGATTTCCAAGATAACTGGGGTTTTCTGCAATGCTATTCTCTTACTGCCTGTTTATTTAGAATTTTTTTTTTTTTAAATTGTCCAGATGTTTTAAAATCGTACTTAAATTCACTACGCTGTGTGGGCCTTTGAGATTTTTATGGGGGGGGGGGGGGTTCTTTTTTTTGGTAAGGTTTTACGGCGCACCCATCTGCGTGAGTTCATATGAGGGCCTAGGGGTGGATGTCAACAGAGAAGTTCAAACGTGGAATTGGGCTTACTCTGCTCAACTCTCTGGCCCCAACATCTCAAATCTGCTTCAACTACAAAGGCACCCCGGAAATAGTAGTTCACGAGAGAGTGACAAACATACAAAAGAAGTAGAGGGAAAATGACGATAGAAATGATGAGGAAATAAAAAAGCAGCAGTTCAACCTTTGTTGTTTCGGCACAGTATGACCGTGACATTGATATAGCAGCCCATTTACAATTCTACTGTGCATAAGAACATGTCAATATCCCCCCTTTGGGAATGGCCTAAAGACACTTCAGTCAGTAGCACTGCCCTGGGAAGTAAGGAGGGGGTGCTGTTGAGTTTGTACTGAGCAATAGTGGTACTTCCAGAGAACGTGCCGTCGAGCATAAAAACAACAACAACAAAAAACAAACATGGCTCACCCAAATAACTTCCTCCCTCCCCCCCCCCTTCTCTCTCTCTCTCTCTCTCTCTCTCTCTCTCTCTCACACACTCTCTCTCTCTCTCTTTCTCTCTCTCTCTCTTTCTCGCTCTCTCTCTCTCTCTCTCTCTCTCTCTCTCTCTCTCTCTCTCTCTCTCTCTCTCTCTCTCTCTCTCTCTCTCTGTCTCTCTCCTACTTTCCTTCTTTCGTTAAAAATAACTTCGTTATCCACAATGTACTTTGTAACTGTTCCTGAACAGTCGATAAAGACAGTAGTCTCTTTGATATCTTTCCCCCTTTATCAATATGTTATGGACAGATTTGCGACGAGTTGAAGTCTGGAGGCGTCGTGAAGACGATCAAGGAACAACAAGTGCCGTACATGGTCAAGGGAAACGAGTGGATTGGCTTTGACAACGAAGAGAGCCTGAGAAACAAGGTAAGAGAGCGGGATTTTGGGGGGTAAAAGTTTAGTTTACACTCCGTCCCCTGCACCCACCCCCAACAAAACAAAAGAAAACAAAATAAAACAAAACAAAACACACTTCTTAGTTCATCACAAGGATCACAATAGAATCCCAGACTGTCTTTTTTGGGTCCCACTGGTCATTGTCTTCTATGTCAAGAAGTACAAAATGGGGGCTCAGTTCTACTTTTACCCCTTCTTTTTATCTGCAAAGGAGGAGTAAGTGGAGACTCGGTCTGCAAAAATCGAGACAGTTTTACTTATGTAAAGGAGCCATTATATTATTTGTGATTTTTGTTTTCAAATAACCGAAGTATCAGGCAAATGTTGTAAAGTTTTATTTTCTGTTTCTGAAAATTACCACAATTTTTTAAAACGGTTGATTTTTTAAATTTGGGTCGACCAGATGTAGTTCCAAACAGATTTCCGACCCAAGGACACCTTGCTTTTCTAGGAAAGAATAAATCTGAAAAAAAACAATCTTATCTTTAGAAAAATCTACTGATTTCATCATAGAACCCTAGAGCCCCCCTCCCCTTTTTGCCGCCTCCTCCATCCCTACCCCATCCACTCTCTCTCTCTCTCTCTCTCTCTCTCTCTCTCTCTCTCTCTCTCTCTCTCTCTCTCTCTCTCTCTCTCTCTCTCTTTCCCTCTCTCTCTCCCTTTCTCTCTCCCTCTCCCGTCTCTCTCTCTCTCTCTCTCTCTCTCTCTCTCTCTCTCTCTCTCTCTCCCATCCAACTATAACCCTTTTCCCCTTTCCCTCTCATCCCTTACCGCCGTCTCTGTGTTGCCCTCTAATGCGTTCGATTCTCTCCCGCTTTACTGCCAACGGTAAACGTGGTGAAACAAAGTCTAGTTGTGGTCTACATCGTCCTTTGCGCATTACTTTACGACTACCCCCATTGTTGGCCCCACAGAGAGCGAAAACCCTAGCTGTTCGTAGTTGGCCAAGAAAGTTCCAAAAGACAACCTCAACTAGTCCTTGTCTCACCACCTTTCTCCCATCGATATATCTGCTCTATTGTAATGGTGGGATAATTTCTTGACATAGAGAATATTACCTAAGAAAACGATACCGTTCGACATTCAGGTAGACTATGTACTTGATCATGGAATCGGAGGAGTTATGTTCTGGGCGCTAGATCTGGACGACTTCAAAGGGCAGTCCTGTGGAAAAGGCCCCTACCCACTGATCAACGCTGTCAAGGATGAGTGCGCCAACCCTTCAGCGGGAGGACAGGGGTAAAATATTTCTCTTGTCTTTTTAGTTGGGGGCAGCCTTTGTAGCCCTCTAAAGGTAAAACCTTTTGGGATGTCGGTTTGCCTTTATCCGTGGAACTTTGAACCAACACTGAACAGCAGGCGCTCACGCTTTATACAAATGAACTGGAAAGCGATAGCTCAATCAGGAATATTTAACAACGAATCATAGTGATCGAAACCTACAATGTTATACATTCTTAAGTTCATAACAATACGAATCAGACTTCGTCATACTTTTAGGAATATTGAGTTGTACCTTTTTCTAAATTTTGAGGTCTGAAAAATGTGACATAAAGGTCTGCGACATCTGAATTATACGTATTTAAAAATGTTATATTATATGTACACAAAATATATGGATAGATAGATAGATAGATAGATAGATAGATAGATAGATAGATAGATAGATAGACAGACAGACAGACAGACAGACAGACAGACAGACAGACAGACAGACAGACAGACAGATAGATAGATAGATAGATAGATAGATAGATAGATAGATAGATAGATAGATAGATAAATAGATAGATAGATAAATAGATAGATAGATAGATAGATAGATAGATAGATAGATGCTTACTTTGTCACTTGTTTGCAGGACAAGTGACCACACAAGCCCCCGATGTCGTCACTTACGCCAACACACCCAGTGGAGGGTCTACTTCCAGTGGAGGTGAATGGAGAGAATGAAGTTTTACTGATGTATGTATACGTGTGTATGTGTGTGTGTGTGTGTGTGTGTGTGTGTGTGTGTGTGTGTGTGTGTGTGTCCGTGTACGTATGTTCATGCTTAGTTGGGACTGTCATCGACCATATTAAAGATGTTTTGGTGGTTGTAGTTTGTCCCCCCAAAAAGGGGGGAGGGGCGTGTGGGGCTTCCCATCTGATTACTTATTGTCGCGATTTGTCATTAATCTTCACCTCCATAAAATTATTTGATCTGACCGACTCTACAAATGGAGAGCTCCACCATTTTACACATTGTAGAGGGCAACGGTTTTTATCTAGATCTAAATGCCCCCCCCCCTCCACACACACACCCCAATCCCGAAATCTCTATGCGCTTTCATTACCATGGCCAATCAGGCGGGACATATGCTATGCCAAACAGGTCATATCGCAGCAGACCAGGTGTCGATCGGACCGGACTTGCAGTAGACTGCGGTGCGGCAGACCTTTAGCAAAACAGACATCAGAAAGTTTATATTTCTCAAAACGCATTCTCCACTATAATTTGTTAAGTCATGAACTGACAGTTAGCCTAAACTGCAAGCTCTATTTAATGTGAAGCAAAAAGAAACCCAAAATTTAAACCTTTCCTGATAGGTCGCATCAACTAAGAACAGCGTTCCTTATTATGTAAATAAACTTTTGACTTCAAATGAAGAATATTATTGTTGTCCTTCAACAAATTCTTTTTTAAAAGTACATGTATATATACTTAAGTATTTTCTTGTAAAACAGCTGTCCAAAGCTGCCAGAGGCGAGTGTGCTACTATACCAACTGGTCCCAGTACAGAAACGGACAAGGAAAGTTCATGCCAGAAGATGTGGACCCCAATCTGTGCACTCATCTCATCTACTCCTTCGCCAAAATGACGAACGACAAACTGGCAGCCTTCGAGTGGAACGACGAAGACACTTCGTGGTCTACAGGCATGTAAGTGTGGAACGGGACCGTTGAAATCTTTTAAAATGAAAACTTGATAACGGTAAATTTAGCCCTCTGTTTTGGAACTCACTTGACCTAGCATACAGAATGTCTACTCACTGTGAAACCGCATGCGGGTTTCCATAACGTCCATTCGAAAGATGTTTTTGACTTGTTTTGAGAAAGGTTGGGGGGGGGGGGGGCGAAATCTACTTTCCCTGAAAATCTTTTAGTAATGCTTCCCTCCACCGCTGGACGAAGTAACCATCTGGAAAATTTCCCTTGTAATCATCCGCTCTTGCTTGTTAACGCTTGCCAGTCTACCTAGCATAGATCCCTCTTTGAAGAAATTCTAAGTTTTGACGAAAAGTTATTCTTTAATTTCTTTATATAACGTACTTATAATTATAACAATCCATCGATGGGGAACACAGCTGGGACCCACCTAGCGTTGATATCAGGTACAGACTGGTAGTCTTCAACCCTCGTAGGCTGCAGGTAACAACAAAAACTAGTATGATGCATGTCTGTGAACTGCTATTTGCCGATGATTGTGCATTCCTTGCTCATGAAGAATCCACCTTGCAAAACTGTGTTGATCATTTTTCAAATGCATGTGAGAACTTTGAACTTACAATAAGCACAGCAAAGACAGAAGCTCTCTTCCAGCCTGTCCAAGGTGATACGCAGACCCTCTCTCCCAAAATCCAAATACATAGAACAACACAGAACAATGTTGACACACTGGCAAAGCTTCCAGGAAAGCATAAGATATGGTGTCTACAGTTTGCCCTCTACCCTCGGTTGGCGTGGCCACTGATAATGTATGAAGTTGCTCTGTCAAGAGTTGAGATGATCGGAAAAAAAGTGTAACAGCTACATCAGGAAGTGGCTGGGGCTGCCCCGTACCATTAACACGTCATCCCTGTACAGACATAGAGGTGCGCTTCAACTGCCTCTCACGTCAATCGTGGAGATCTACAAAGCAGGCAAGATTAGAACCGTTTTGATGTTGAGAGAATCAAGGGATAAGGAGATCAGTGGAAAACCTCCAGATGTCAAAACAGCCAGAAAGTGGAAGGCAGAAGTTGCAGCTGACGAGATCATCTCTGCATTGGAGCATGGCGACATTGTCTGTCCAGCGCAACCTGACAGATTAGGGCTAGGTAATGGCGACTTTAGACCTTTCAGGAAAATGTCTCAGCGAGACAGAAGAAAAGCTGCAACAAGACATATGCAAACGATGGAGGCAGAGAGGCGAGAAATTCATCTCATCCAGTGTAGCCAGCAAGGACAAATGACCAGATGGGAAAAGCATGTAGTGGAAAGAAAAGTCGGGGGGAGTGACATCTGGAAGTTGAATACATCAAGGCTAAGCTTTCTTATCCGGTCTACGTATGATGTTCTGCCTTCCCCGGTGAACCTTGTCAGATGGAAGGTACAGGACGACAACAAGTGTAGATGCGGTAAGCTAGGAACCATGAAGCATATTTTGTCAAACTGCAATCTGGCCCTTAACAGATACACCTGGAGGCACAATGAGGTGCTGAAAGTGCTCACGACAATGGCGACAAAACAGGTGGAAGAAGGAAAATATGCCCCCAAGATACAGAAGCATGGACCCACCAAGATTGCGTTCGTTCCGCAAGGAAGCAAGGTTACCAAATGAAAGAAAGCGAACGAAGCTATGGAAGACCAGAGCGGAGGCACATAGGAGGTAGCCGCTGACTTAAAGAGCTTTGAGAGATTTTTCCCCATTCCAACTACGAAAAAGCCAGACATTGTGTTATGGGAGGAAAAAGACAAAGAGGTGCACTTGGTAGAGCTCACTGTGCCCCACGAGGACAATAAATATGCCGCTCATGAGCGGAAAGAAAACCGTTACGAGGCACTTGTCGAGCAATGTGAGGAGGCAGGATGGAATGCAACCCATTTTCCGGTAGAGGTAGGATGCAGAGGTTTTGTAGCAACAAGCGCCTGTAAGTGGATGAGAGTGGCAGGACTTACTGCAAAGAAAAGCAACGAACTCACAAACTCCCTTCAGGAGACAGCAGAGAAAGCCAGTCACTAGATCTGGTTGAAGCGAGAGGACCCAGGCTGGAATGAATCCTAAAGTTGGCAGCAGAGGAAAACAGTCGAACTAACATGGAGACCTCACATCGGTGAGGGGGCTCGGTGCGTCAGAAAAGCTGTAGAGAGGAAGAGCCCGAAACAGCGACGTATTCTCTCCTGATGATCTCCATGCTAGAGTCCGGGATACGGAGCGTACGGCGGTGAGCAGTGCATACGGCTGTTTAGACTACTTACTTAAAAGTATGTTGGCTGTTCACTATCTTCAAATGTCCTCATCGATGCAGAAATACCTTTACGTTTGACTAAAGCTAGTGCATCCTTTGGAAGACCCAGATCAAGAGTTTGGGACTGCTGTGGCATCTGCACAGATACAAAGTTGAAAGTCTACAATGCTGTTGTCCTCCCAACCCTGTTGAATGGTGCCGAGACCCGGAAGGTGTACGAAACCCATGCCAAGCAGCTTAACCATTTCCATATGAGATGCCCCAGGATAATTCTTGGCATCAAATGGTAGGATAAAATACCAGATACCGAAGTTCTCAATAAGGCAAATGCCAATAGTCTGCTTTCTAAGCCATATCATAAGAATGCCTCATTTCAAAATCTGAAATGCAGCTATCTGAACTGTCCTCAGGGAATGGTAAGGTTGGCGCACCATAAAAGCGCTACAAGGACACCCTGAAAATGTTTCTGAAGGACTTCAACATAAATCGACATAGGAGAGCCTTGCCCCTAACAGAGCCAGCTTGAGAGCAGCAATCACAGTTCGCAGCAAATCATATGAGGTTTCACGAATAATGCTGACCCCAACAGAGAAGCCCACAAGTTGCGCACATTCACAAGTGGAAGTGGAGCCCAGGATGCTCAAAATGTGGCAAACCTTTCTCTGCTAGAATTGGTTTCATCGGCCACTTCAGAAGCCACAAGTCATCGTATTCTTCTCTTTCGCTGGAGAAATATTCTCCTCTGTGGATGTATTGGTCATCCTCAGACATTGACAGACGGTATATTATTATTATATAATGCACAATTTACTTTTCCCTTCTTTGTGTCTTCTTCTTCTTCTTCTTCTTCTTCTTCTTCTTCTTCTTCTTCTTCTTCTTCTTCTTCTTCTTCTTCTTCTTCTTCTTCTTCTTCTTCTTCTTCTTCTTCTCCTCCTCCTCCTCCTCCTCCTCCTCCTCCTCCTCCTCCTCCTCCTCCTCCTCCTCCTCCTCCTCCTCCTCCTCCTCCTCCTCCTCCTCCTCCTTCTTTTTCTTCTTCTTCTTCTCCTCCTCCTCCTCCTCCTACATCTTCTTCTTCTATCCCGCGGTTGGGGCAACCGTGGGGGCACTACTGCAACTACAAACCAGCTCTCGCCATTCCCATCTCCTTCTCTGCCTTCCTCTCTTTCTCTTTCCTTGTACGGTTCCTTGAAGGATTGTTTTGGCAAGTCCTGTGGATCTTCTGATATGCCCATAGCATTTTAATTTTCGTCTCTTCACTGTGGTCAGTAGATATTCATGCTGCCCCACTGCTTTGGTGATTTTCTTTCGTACCTCAGCATTTGAAACGTGCCTTTATCTCCGCCTGTTAATATAGATGTGCGAATGTGCAGTCTTTTCGTGCATCTTGGTTTGCAGATATCAATGCTCGAGGTTATCAAGATATAATATACACTTTAAGAGGGATGACAGCAGTCAGTCTTGATCAGTGCTTGTCAATCTGCGCGATATCGTCCACTGATGGGCGACGTGTTCGTTTGGTGCGCAGTGGGGATCACATGGATAGTAGCAGGAGCTATTTAATACCCCGCTTGGAAATACATAGGTCATCATTGTCCACACGTGGGAGAAAGCGCGAGTCCACGACTCCGTCGGGGGAAAGGGGAGGTGAAGCCACCTCAAGAGAGGGACAAAAAGAGAGACCTAACCGTCAGACAGAGAAGAGTGTTATCGCAGATAAGATGCAACACGAAGAGCCCCATCCAGCAGGCATAAGTACATGCAATAGGCTCCGCTCCCAATGATTCCTGTCTGGCGTGTGGCACTGTATGAGTGCCCGCAAGGGGATGCACATTGAGGCCCGCTTATGGAGAACAACGCGAGACCGGACTTGGTTGTACTCTGGACGAGGCCACACGAGCTTGCCTCTTACCTGTCTGCCTGCGGCAGATTGCCGCCCTCCTAATGGAGGTCAGCCAGAGGCAGGAAGGAAGGAGATACATAGGTCGACGGTACGAAAATTATAGCCTCTTAAAGGTGGCAAAAGTAGACGCTGGCTATACAAAGGTTGACGAGCACTGCTCTAGGCTGTGTTTGTTATCGTTTTAATCTGCTGCTCTGTTGCTGATTAATTGAAAACGTCAATTTATCATGGAAATTATCGTCTCATCGGCATCAAAGATTCAAGTAATAATGAAAATTAGATCGATTTAGCACACCTGAGTTTTGAATCCACAGGCTGTCTATTTTTTACTTTCAGGAAAATGTTTACTGGAAGTTCTTTTCTTCACGCATTACCATTGACACAGTCAAAAAGAGGTTGTTCGGCTGATCAAGTTGATCACCGATGGCCTCGTTGGACGGCCATTACGATTACCTTGGATTTAACTAATCAAACTTACCCAGTCAGTATGGTAAAAAAAAAATAGACCATAACTTTTTATCAAATACTTAGAATTAATTCCATTCGTGGTCTATGCGCGGTTGATTGGCTTTATAAAACTGTCTAAACGACATGGCATAGCTGACTCGAGGAGTAAATTCTTAGTGCCAGATTAGAAATCTATGAATCATTTTCATTATTCTCGTACTCGTATCATTTCTTTTCCTTCAACGACATTCTCAACAGTCTCCTTTGAAATCCTCATAATTTCTTTTCCTTCCACGAAATTCTCAAAAGTCTCCTAAGAAATTCTCATACTCAATCAAAACAAAAGTTCCTTATTCCCCAGGTACCATCGATTCACCGACTTGAAAAAGCAGAATCCTCAGCTGAAGACCATGATCGCTGTGGGCGGCTGGAACATGGGCTCGGCTCCTTTCGCGCACATGGTCGCCACTGCAGCTACTAGGAAAACGTTCATTGACGACGCAATCAAGTTCCTCCGGTCTCACAATTTTGACGGCCTTGATTTGGACTGGGAATACCCTGGGGCCAGAGGAAGTCCTGCCGAGGACAAGCATAGGTTCACGTTGTTGGTTCAGGTAGGAGTTGTAAGGTACAGAAAAGAACTCGCGAATAGCATACGCTAAACACACATTATTATAAGCTCAGTATGCCCTCAGGCAGACAGGCAGACAGGCAGGCAAGCAGGCAAGCAAACAAACAGACACATGCTCAGTCTAGCACACACACACACACACACACACACACACACACACACACACACACACACACAAACACACACACACACACACACACACACACACACACACATAAAAATACACTCATACACACTTGTACAAATGCAAACGAGCGTTCAGAGATGAACAAATGAACACGAAGAGAAGAGAAAAAAGAAAGAAGGGAAAACATGAATAGGAAACAACGAAAGAATATGGTGTCAAAATGGGAGTTAATATTGGATGTGACCTTCAGATTGCCCAAATAGCTGACATTCTGACAATTTAATCAAATTCTCTAAAATTAAACGTGTTTGCCTATCTACGTCACATTAATTGATTGCAATTGTTTAAAATCGTGGCCAACAGTCAAATAGAAGCCTGCTCCGTGTCACAGGCCTTGGTTTTGTTGTTGTTGTAGTACTTGTTGTTGCTGTTGTTGTTATTGTTGTTGTTGTTGTTGTTGTTGTTGTTGTTGTTGTTGTTATTGTTGTTGTTGTTTTTGTTGTTGTTGTTGCTTTCATGGTTTTTGTTGTTTGTTTGCTTTGTTTGTTTATTTGTTTTCTTTTCTTTTGTGCATTGTTGTTGTTATTTTTTGTTTTGGCGGGATTTAGGGCGGGGTGGGGGGGGGTGCTATTGGCTCTAATGAACTTGCTCCCCGGTAAAATTTGATAAAGAACAGCTTTGGTGTGTTTAGCAAAGAGTTGAATTTGATAAAGAGTTCTTTGGCCGACACCATTTACTCACCCGACCACTGGCAGTTCGAGTTAATTTGACCTATAAGCATCCGTTTTTACTTCTCTTGGCCCCAGGAACTGGCTGACGCCTTCACCAAAGAAGCGGCTACTTCTGGCAAACCTCGACTCCTTCTCTCAGCTGCTGTCGCTGCTGGAAAGGACAAAATAGAAGCAGCTTATGAAATCCCCGAGATTGGAAAGTAAAGTAGCATATAAATCCTCTTTCTGTTGTACAAAAAAACCATCATTATTAACCGACTTCGGTGGTGAAGTGGGTGGGCACTTTGCCATGGCTCGTAGAAGACACAAATTCGATTTTTGTGAGGGGAGGTTTTGTTATTGAGTAAGGTGTATCTCAGTCTGTCTGCTGGACAATTATATCCCTGTCATTCTAGGTTGGCCTTGACAGATCGGGTCGAATCAAGCCACCTCTTACATGGTTTCAAATGTGTAGATGGGGTCATATAAAACCTATAATTATAAAAACTTTTAACATACATCTTTCAAATTTCCGTGTTATATTCTCAAATGATGATCCATTGTTGGCCAAAGAACTATCCTATACGTTCAAATGGTAGTTTTTTCAAAAACAGTACACAAACTTTGGAGCACTCACCGTTCAATCTACCCATCTATTCATTAGTTTACTGCTTGGCTGACTAATCCTCCTACCTACCTACCTACCTACCTACCTACCTACCTACCTACCTACCTACCTACCTACCTACCTACCTACCTACCTACCTACCTACCTACCTTCCTACCTACCTACATACACATCCTCACAAGTACCCATCTATCTATTTACCCACCAACTTAAACTGCTACCTTCCTACCTACCTATCTACCTATCTACCTACCCATCCACACACCCACGAACCCACTCAATTACATACCTAGATGCTTGTACTTACTGCCCAAACTGCCCATCCATTCTTAAAGCCTCTACTTAGCCGGTCAACCTACCTACCTACCTATCTACCTACCTACCTACCTACCTTCATACCGGCGAACCGACCAATCTACCGACTGATCTACCTGCCAATTGACTGACTGAGCTACTTATCTATCTACCTACCTATTGAACTACTGACTTACCTATCTACCTACAGACATATACACTATACACCCGCCCATACACCTAACTGTGTACATACTTACCTCACTTACCCTCCTATCTATAACCTACCTACCTATCTACCTATTCACATACCAACTTACTCATCCACCCACCCACTCATCAATCCATCACAGGAGTCTTGACATGTTCAACGTGATGACCTATGACTTCCACGGAGTTTGGGACAAGACGGCGGGACACAACAGTCCCCTCTACGCCCACCCGAACGATACTGGAATACAGGCCGATTACAACATTGTAGGTTGTCTACCAACTTTGTTTGTATTGCATCAAGATTGGTCAAACGAGGGTGGTTACAGGGTGTTACGGATAGGATCGTGCGCAGGCACCTGTCTGAAATCGAAGCTGATGCTTCTGACAAAATTGTGTATGATCTTATGCTCTAGATAAAACATTATAACTGAAGTCTTGTGAAATAATTCTGACGTACTTTTTCTCCACCCAACATGATGATCATGCTTTTTGTTCGATTGTTTTTTTGTCCTGCACATTAACTAAAAAAAGGGTTATTTATCTTACCCCCCCCGTTTATTTTCCTCCAAGCTTTTATTAATAGGATATATAAGAGCTGCGGTTTAGAAGTTTTACTAGAAAGCGATATTCAAAAGAAAGAAAGGAGATGGAAGATAGAAACGAAAGAAGTTTGATGTTTGGAAAGAAAGAAAGAAAGAAAGAAAGAAAGAAAGAAAGAAAGAAAGAAAGAAAGAAAGAAAAAAAGAAAAAAAGAAAGAAAGAAAGGAAAAAAGAAAGAAAGAAAGGGCAAACCACACCAGATTGCCCACCCACCACCCGTATGCAAAATGGCCAAGACTTTTACCCTTTATACAAATCAAGTTCTACGCAAAATGAAAAAAGAAGGGGGAAGAGGTAAACGTAGACACGAAGAGCTAGACATTCCATATGTGGCCTCTTAATGTGGAGCACGCCGTGTGGAAAATTAAAGAGTAAGCACCCGTTTCCGGACATTACTTTTAAATTCCCGACCAAAACGAAACAAAACTAAATGAAACCAAAAGAAGCCGCATAAAGAACAAAGCAAGACGAGACTCCCCACCCAACTTTCGTCACAACAACAACCCCAAACCCCCGAACCAAAGGTCACAAACGCTTAATTTCAACACTATCATTTTTTTAAAAAGATGTCTCGGATGTAAAAGTTTCTTTTCTATCCGACCCCCCACCCTCACCCCCTTTCCCAAATCCCTACCCATTCCCTTCTATCACTCAATTAATTTCCCCAGGACTCTGCTATCAATTACTACATCCAACACGGAGCCCCAAAAGAGAAAATAAACCTTGGCTTGACAACCTACGGTCGAGGTTACGTCCTGGCTAACGCCAGCCAAAATAACGTTTACGCCCCCATCACGGGACCCGGCCCTGCAGGAAGGTTCACCAGAGGGAAGGGCATCAAAGCTTATTACGAGGTGAGTCCCTCCAGTTGATGTGTTAACGGCTGGAGAGATTAATCACGGTGGCGGGGTCACCCGTGTGACAATGTTCCCCTTAACTACGTTTTATTCAGACTTGGTGGTGAAAATGGTGAAATGATAGAGGTTTAACACCGCAATCAACACTGTTAGGTTATTTCAGAGGCGGGACCTCCGAGTTTAACGTCCATCTCTGAAAGGACTGAGCTAAATGGGAAATTCGTGTAAAGTGTACAACGTCGGACCGAGCTCAGGCTCAAACGCCCGAACCCGCAATCTCACGATTACGAGTCCTGTAGCCTAACCACCAGGCTACCGACGCCATAGACTTGGTGGCTCCGGGCAAAACAATAAGATTTCACCCTTAGTTGTTCCTGATTACTATTGTTTTCTGTAATTCTTAATGTTAATCAAGTGTTGTTTTCAAACTTAGAATCCTTTCCACTTTGTAACCACGTTGTACATGTACATGTATTAGATTTGTTCTGATGGACAACAGCACTTCCGGAAGACGGGCCGTCGAGCAAAACAAACATAGCGTACCCAAACAAGATGAGCTGTCGTCACGCAGGGGAATAAATAAATATCCGAGCACAAAGCAAATAAGGATGTTTCTAGTACATGTTTTAGTACAAAATGACCTCAAAAGTACAAAATTACAGAAAACAATAGTTATCTGGGGAATCTGAGGGTCAAACCTTTCTTGATTACCCAAACCCACTATGTCTGAATACAACTTTGTCATCTGGACAATCGTCAGTCTTGCTTGGTTTGTTGGTTTGGGGGTAATTCGTTTGTGCTTCATTTCTGCTCGGGAAATGCTTAGTGCAATACCCCTTCGTCAAATGTAATGTTAATGTGTTGAGAATGTTCTACAATCATTACAACCGGTCATTTTTTTCACAATGTTGCTATGATAGTTTGTTCAGAGGACGAACACTTCCTCCCCCCCTCCCTCCC